CTGGGAGACACACATCAACAAGAAGAACAATTAACTACACTCCACCTTTTGTCATTGAGCTTAAAACACCTTACATGGCTCTCCATGTCCCCTTCACTTCAGCTTTGGAACATCTGTGTGAGATGGCTCAGACTAAGCAAGTGACTCATCCAAGCTCATCTACTCATTTCCATAGTTCAGAAGGTCCTAACACCTGGATATCCAGTTCACTCTTGTTGTCAATATATGCCCATGTATAATATCTAGAAGAACGGCTAAGTTGTTCTCACAGCAAGTAGGGTGGGTAGAGGCAGAGAATTCATGCCATGATTCTTTGATAATAGCTTATGGCACTTTCATCCATCTTAAAATAGTGTGAATGAGAATTAGCATTATTTATCCAACATACTGGCGATCAGAAACTCCGAAGTGTTAGTCTGTCAGTCCTTTCTCTTCTTTTGATTGAATTCCATATTCAGAGAGAGAAAGAGAAAGAAACCTGCAGCATCTGGGAAGAAAAAACAAAAGAAGAAAATTCCTATGCAACCTGAAATACAGCAGGTGTGCCCAAGCTCCTGATATATTAATTATATGGTGAGTGCCATTTTTCCTCTGTGTGCACATTTAACATGTGCCAACCTGATATTAATAGATAGTAATTGTTTGCAGGGTACAGGCAGGGCCAAGAAAATTGATTTTACAGTTGCTTAAATGTTGGAAGTAAAGGTTTTCTCTCCCTGCTCCCCAATTGTTGCTGGGAAGGCTTAAATTTCACTTAGTAACAGATTTTGTAACTGTCAGGTTCAGAACAACTCAAGGATATTTGTCTGCCATGTTTATTTTCACCAGCACCCTGAGTTTATTTATCCAGCTGCTGTCACTAAAGAAGAAAGAAAAAGGTATAGGAGGAAGATTAGGTGCTGAAAAGATATACCAGCTTTCATATCAGTAGGGCTACTGCCATGAAACTCTTAGGCAAGTTACTTTCCTCTATATTTATTTGTCTAATAGCACTGTGGTGAGACTTCTGTAGAACAATGTATATAGATATCTGTGTGATCCATTCATTTTTTTAAAAAAAAAACTAGACCAAAGTTCTCAAATATTCTGCAACACAAAGATAGTTCTGCAACCTACATCATTTCATTATTCTTCAGCATGCATGCAAACTAAGGGCAATGTGATTTATCTTCTCAACCAGCTCTATAGTTCATTCTTCAACTTTGCTTCAGCACCTGAGAGCTCTTTAAGGAAGGACTATACTCTAAAATTACACCCCAGCCACTAAAATCTTTACTCAGAAGATTTTTCCAGATATTCTCTACTTTTGAGTATATTCTTACAACCCAATGGCCATTTTGTCAGTGCAAAACATGATTTTACTAATCCTAAACTAGTTATGACTACTATTATTCAGTTCTCAACACAGGAGGTTCTACACAGACATATAAAGTGGACTGAAACCAGCATTCGAGATGGGTTTTGTGGCCTGACAGGAACTCCTTGAGCTATCTTGGTGGCAGCAGAGAAGCCACACTACCTAGCCATGCTGAACCTGGTTTGACACTGCTAATAGGGGCAATTTAAATGGCAACATACCTAATGCAGGAAACTCAATTTCCCACCTCCTGTCTGGATTTGCAAGTTATACCCTCATGGAGGAAGGATGTAGCACCCCTACACACTAGGTAGGTCACTTTCTCGCTGCTGCATCCAGCAGCAATATAGGGGGAGGCAGGATAGACAGCCATCCCACATCCCCAGGTGGCTTAGGAATCAACTGCACCTGTCTGGAATGCTGTAATCTCGGAGTGTTGAACAGCTTTCCACAGGATAATGCAGATCTGCCTCCATGCGTTGTATAGCCACACACTGGCTCATCCAACCTCAAACCCATCAGTGACCAGTGTGGATATGACCCGTGTGGCCAGTTGGTCAGAGGTTAAAGAACACTCTCTTCATTGAAACAGTCATTGCGTCACTCTGAGATCCATTAGTATATGGACCCTACCCTGTATTGACTTGGGTAACATTTGCTTTTCAGGATGTGTCCCTGAAAAGAATGGTGAGCCAGGCCATTAACTACCAACACCAGTAATAACGAAATGGGACAGCTCAACTAAATCCTGGATAGTTGGGGCTAAAAAGAGTAGAATATCCCATTCTATACAGGGTCTATAAAGGGTAGGATCCATTATTGGAGTTGGAACTGGATGAGTAAAAAAGATTGGTAAGAATATAGAAATCAATGAAAGGGTGGGAAAATTGCTTGTGTTTTTTTTTATCGTGTCAGAAGCAACTTGAGAAACTGCAAGTCACTTCTGGTATGAGAGAATTGGCTGTCTGCAGAGACATTGCCCAGGGGATGCCCAGATGTGTTACCATCCTGTGGGAGGCTTTTCTCTTGTCCCCACATGAGAAGCTTGAGCTGAGCTGACAGATGGGAGCTCACTCCGTCTTGCAGATTCAAACAGCCGACCTTCACATCAGCAGTTCAGCTGGCACAAGGGTTTAACGCATTGCACCATCATGGTTCTGTTTGAAGGAAAAGATAGATAAAAATGTAATAAAGAAACTAAAAGGAGGCCCAATAATCTCACCAGTGGAATAGTGGAAAAAAATGACAGAGTAAATTTTTGATTTAAAAAAAATAGAATTGCTTCCAATAGAAATATTAGGTAATAAAAATGAACAGATATATGGAAAAAATAAACCAAAAATGAAACAGAATGGAATAACCAAAATTGAGATTTATTAAAACTCAATGGAACAATAAAGGAATGGGAAGAGTTAAAGGATAAGTGCAGACAAAGTAACTGGTTATTATGATAAAGAATAAGTCAAATATTCATAGAAATGGTATTTTATTTATTTATTTATTTACTGTATTTATACCCCACTCTTCTCAACCCCAAAAGGGACTCAGAGTGGCTTACAGATTATGGCAAAATTCAATGCCACATCATACAACAAATAAACATAACATATCAAATTATAAAACAATTAAAACATAAATACAGTAAGTACAACAACAAATAATAAACATAACATATCAAATTATAAAACAATTAAAACATATAAATGCAATAAAACATATTAAAAATAGTTTTAACAGAGCAGATGTGCCATCAGGGGAAGAATGAGATGCCAAACCGGGGTGGCAGTGTTCACTCAAGAGAGGGCTCAGGTGAATCAAGGGCCATGGTTGGAAGAAACAAATGTTGGTATCTCTGTGCTGACCCAAGGATGCTGAAATGGAGGACAGTCAAGATAGAGTCCAGCAGCACCAAGTGGTCCCCAGAAGCTGAGTGAGTCCCTAGAAGCTGAGCCAGAGGCAGCAAGGGAAATAAACGCAACCCCTTCCCTCAAAGCCCCTGGTGATGGTACCTTCACTTCTTGCTTAGGCCTGAGGCCCTGCAGGTATGGTTCTTTTTATGCCCCAGCCTCTGGGGCAATGGTTCTCAACCTGGGGTCCCCAGATGTTTTTGCCTACAGCTCCCAGAAATCGCAGCCAATTTACCAGCTGTTAGGATTTCTGGGAGTTGAAGTCCAAAAATATCTGGGGACCCCAGGTTGAGAACCACTGCTCTGGGGCAAGCAGGTGTTGTTGCTGGCCTTGACCTGCAGAGTCAGGGCCTTGGTTCTGCCAGGAGTGAGTCCACAGGAGCTGAGCCTGAGGCAACAGGAGAAACAAACGCTGCCCCTTCCCTCAAAGCCCCTGGTGATGGTACCTTCACTTCTTGCTTAGCCTTCTTCTTGGTAGAGAAAGGTAGGCTCAGAATCAGACTTAGACCAAATTTTTAAATGGAAAAAGGAGAAAGGTGTTGTTGTATATAAATCCAACAATAACAACAACAGTACAATATAATATAATCTGAAAAATACTTTGAGCTATGGAAAGATAAAATAAACAGTGATGAGAATGAGACTGAGAATGAGACTGAAACATGGATAGAATCAATTAAAGGGAATAGAAACACAATGTAAAATTTTGACAAAATCGTATCAAACCCCATATCAGTTAGCTCATATTATTAAAAATACATCAAAAAGTTACCTGCATAACTAAATAATTGTACTTGTTACAATTTACCTACATAACTAAATAAAATTACATTAAAAAGCTATCAGCACCTGTAACAAATTCTACTATAACAGCTCTTCATGTTTTCAAGTGGATGGTAGTATGTGGGAACAAGATAGTTGCTTTAACATTGATTCATCTAGTGGAGTACACTATGAGCTCCATTTCCACAGAACCAAAATATGTGTTTTGGTTTGTTCACTTAGGGTGTCTTGTACATGTGACACTCTTGATACCTCCATTATTCATCCCACTGGAAATAATAAGATTCACGATTATCTGTGGTTTTGTATATCCACTTGAAGTCTGGGAATGTATGCGCTATATTGCTAATTTTGAGTAATAGCAATGCCTCTTATGGGCACTCTCTCTTAACTCTACCTGAAGATCTCAGTTATTCTCATGTGGCCTTCCATCCCAGTATTAAGAAGAAGCTTAGCTCCCAAAATCAGATGAATCTGATGTGTTCAGAGTACTATGACAGTTTTTTTTGTTGTGTCAGAAGCGATTTGAGAAACTGCAAGTGGCTTCTGGTGTGAGAGAATTGGCCATCTGCAAAGACGTTGCCCAGGGGACTCCCGGATGTTTTGATTTGTTACCATCCTTGTGGAAGGCTTCTCTCACATCTCCGCATGAGAAGCTGGAGCTGATAGAGGGAGCTCATCTGCGCTCTCCCCAGATTTGAACCTGCGACCTGTTGGTCTTCAGTCCTGCCGGCACAAGGGTTTAACCCACTGCGCCACCGGGGGCTATAACGGTAACCTTATCCTTGGAGGTATATGGGTTTTCTCCAGCTGTTGATCTTTCCTGTATTACTACTGCAGAGGTACAAGATTTCCTCTGTGGATATTGGCTGGTCTATTACATCTTCGTTCACAGCCTCTCTTAATTTTTCTCTTTCTCCCCCCCCCCCTTGCACTCACCACTGCTACCACTCCCAAGTCAACTGGCAGTAATGAGAAATCAAATCACAGCTGTTTCCAACTCTAAAGCTCTCTGGGGCTGCTCTTGCTAGTTATGATAGCAGACAGCTTCATCTCTTAGTCCTTGTTTCAGCTCACATTAGGTAGCAGATTCTAAAACCGCCATGTTGAATGGCTCCTGGCAATGCCTCATCACAGTGGGCCTTTCTGGCTTAGACCTCATGCAAATCATCTGATTGATTGGCTGCCGTGTGCCGGAAGATATTCTACAAACTCAGCAGCATTTTATGGCATCTGGCAAGGAAGGTAAGTTTCTCCTAGCCCTGGACGTTTTGCTGGACATTAGCACAGCTCTGGCTATTTAACTGCCTTATGCCCTCCTGCCTGTCTTGCCAGTGTTTTCTACCTTTTACTGTGGTTCTTCTAATTTATCTGACAAGGTGTTGCCGTGGGATTTCAGGGAATCTCTTAGCAGTGCACAGATTTCCTCCCTGCTGCATGCACTAGGCTCTCTGCCCATTTGGCTTCAAGCAAAGGGCTTAGTTTTGCATTTCACAGGTGCAGAACAGAACCTGGTCAGATATTATTAATTTTATTCAAACATGGTTGGGTGGCTAGGGTGGTAGATCTGAGAGGGCAACACAGAATGTAGATTTTGTCTAAACTGGGATATTGCAATGAAAATAAAGTCAAACTGGGATATGATTTTTTTTAACTGTGAATTGGTTATTGATCTGCCTTCTCTTCAATTGATTGTGCAAAAAAAAGAAAATATTTTTTAACATTGATTCTAAAGAAGGTAGAAAGCAGCACTTGCTTGCTCGAATGCGAGCAATCATTTATCGTAATTTTTCCCCCATTGGGTTCAAAATAAGCTTAAATAATAAATAAGTATTGCTTTAATTCTCAATCCCCCACATTTACAGTGGTTCCCAGTAATTAAATTTTCTCTCCCTCCCAATTAATTAACAGTTAGTATGGATCAATTTATTACCATTATTATGGAACTGCTCACTAATTTCAAGCACTGGAGATCAAGAAGACCAGAAATGTTAGGTCATGCATTTTAATTTTGAAACATCAAATTTCCAGTGAGGAAGAGAAAACAAGAAGTTTACTGAAATCAGTCACACTAAATATGTTACTGATTAAACTTTCCAAGCAACTCACCTATTTTTATTGGTTTATTATGATCAACTGCCTTTAAAGATTAGCAGCTGTTGCTACTTTGAAAGAGTAGTGAAAGTGCCTATAGATGGGGTGGGGGGAGAGGATATTTTAGGCATATGGTTAATTTAATATTCACACCTTGACAGCTCCACAGAAGAGATGCAAACTATATAAAAAAGAATGCATTTTAATTAAACCTCAAATTAATCCTGATACAAATAAACACATCAGGAAAATGTAGAGAAATGACAGCTTTTTTTAAAAAAAAATTATAATTTTGCATGTAAACATTATCTCGGAAATTATGGGTGTTCAGAAGCTATTGTGACACCTATCTGAAGTCACCAGGCAAGACATGTGCGCATATAATCGGATGCCAGCAACAGGGGCAGGAAAACTGTCATGGAAGACCTCACGCTTTGCATGCAAATGGTTCAAAACTCAGTCTTTGGCAATCTCAAGTAGGGTTGGGAAGCCCTGGAGAGCCGCTGCCAATCAGTGAAGGAAATATTGAGCTCCATAGACAAATAATGTAGCTTACTGAGCTGCTGATATATCTCAATATTTGTGTTCATTGACCCCATGGTAGTCTGTTGATCCCTAACCAGTCACTACACATTCCTATCACTTTCCAATCTCAAGTCTTTCTACATTACATCCCATTTCCTTGACTGGATTGGGATGCATCTACACTGTAGAATTAATACAGTCTGACAGCACTTTAACTGCCATGGTGCAATGCTATGGAGTCATGGGAGTTGTAGTTTCGCCGCATCTTTAGCCTACTCTTCCAAAGGATGTTAGTGCCTCACCCAACTAAAAATTCCAGGATTTGACTGTATTGCATTCCTTGAAGTTACAGATTAAGCACCTTTTATCCAAAATGTTTGGAACCAAAAATGATTTGGATTTTATTTGGATTTTGAAATACCCGTGTTTGCATATATGTACTTAATGAGATATGTTGGAAGATGGGAGGGACCTAAGTCTAAACATTACATTTATACATGTTTCATATGTACTTTATCCACAAAGCTTGAAGGAAATTGTATTCAATATTTTAATTGTGTGCATGAACCACGAGTTTTGAACACTGAAACTTCAGAAAATAAAGGCGTCACTGATTCATCTACCCAAGGTGAACAATTATGGATTTTGAAGTATTTCAGATTTCAGATTCTGGATTAGAAATGCTGAAAATGGAAATGTCCATGCTCCCATCTGCCTTTCTGCCTTTGGTTCCTTGAGTACAGCCTTCGTCTTTCTTGAACCCAGCCAGTTGTTTCCAGCCCTCACTACCAGGGCTGCACAAGGCATTTTCAGCAGGACCCTTGGAGAATGAGACATGATTTGCAAATAAGCTGTGGGCTCTTTCATACCCTGACTTCCTTAGATATTCCATGTGGCAAAACTGTTTGAAAGTTTGAACTCTGGTACATTTAGGATTTCAGCAAACACTTGATTACTGCACTTTCTGTGGTCGATTGTTAATCCTTTGATCTTGTTCTGAATAGTGTATTTCTTTTCTTTTTCAGACTTATTGGACAGCCCACACAACCTGCCTCTTACTTCATTTATATTTTTACACCCAATAACCAAAGTCATGTGAAAAACAGTGGCTCAGGTGGACAGTTGAACACTCCAAATTCAGAAACATGATGTTTGGTACCAGTTGTAATAAAGCCATCAGATCTTAGAAGTTAAGCAGAGTCATTCCTTGTGCGTACTTTGGTGGCCAATAAAGACCAGGTGTTGTTGGCTATACAGGTGATACCTTGACTTACGAGTCTAATTTGTTCTGAAATCTTAACTCAAATTGCTGTTATGTCAAATCAAATTAGAACAACAGGTATCTGTGTAAATTGCATATTTTAATCAGGATAGAAGGTAGGCTCCTGTCCCCTCAGCTTTCTTACAATCTCCCAAAGCCCTGGGATTCCAGAAATAACAGCAAGGACAAGAGCAAGGAGCTTTCCTGGCTGCTCCCTTAAGATGACAGGTGGCATACTCTCGTGCTAGCTTGTAACTCAAATCTCTACTTGCATGTGAAAGCAAAAAATTAACCAAGTGATGGCTCAATAAAATCTCAATAAAATTGTTGGTTCGCTTGTAAGTCAAGGTTTCACTGTATTTCAGAGGAAGGAACTGGCAAAACCACTTCTGAGTATTCCTTGCCTAAGAAAACCCTATGAAATTGATGAGATTGCCATTAGCCAACAGGTGATCACACCACAACCAATCTTGCAAATACTTTCACACATGTATCCGCTCTTGATTTTCCTTGAAGCAATATATTCTATGACTGGAAAGCATTGCCATTGTTTGAGAACGGGGTATCAAAAATCCATGTACATCTATTACAAATAACAGAGAGATCTACCAACAAATCCCAATATATCCCCCACCTGCCCTCAACAGCCAGTGTATGTTATAATGGTTTGAACATTAGACTATGACTTGAACACTAGGGTTCAAACTCCCACTCAATTATAGAAACTCAGTGGGTAACTTTAAGGAAATCATGTACTCTGAGCCTTATAGAAAGGCAAAGGAAAATATATCCTGAATAAATTTTTACTAAGAAATCCCTGTGACTGGATCACCTTATGGTCAGCATAAATTGGAAACAACCTGAAAGTACACAACAACACTTGATGTATGTTACTAGGAAGACATTTGTGACCTTAACTGTGTCTTCAGACTTTTATCAACATTACAATATCTAGTTCCTCTTTTTCTTGGAAGTCATGCATACACAAAATTGATTTATTGTTTGTGTCTGAGTACTCCACAATCAGGAATGGCTCTCCAGTAGCATACTAAACACTTTTTATGTTGACTGGGATGCTCACAAAGCTGGAAGAAATACAAAAAAATAGAAACACATTCTCATCTAGCTGGCTACAATGGTTTCCACCTGCAGTTTTCACACTGTGTTCCAAGAAATCTAGGGATCCTTTGGAAGCTTATCAAGGCTTCCTCAACAAGAAAATCAATAATGGTAGCCAGACTTCCCTAAAAGACAGTATGCCCACCATTGCCAACTGCTCTGTTCCCCTGGTAAAAAAAAAATCTCAATTCCCAGAAGGTTCAGCTAAACAAATGTTTAATTCACTACAGCAAAATACAGAGTAGTATTTGAGTCAAAAAGTGAGGTGTAGTTGACCATAAAACCATTTGGGGGACATAGCCTAATTCCTAAATGTAGGACAGGCCTTTGAAAGTAGATCAGCTTTCAGAGTATGAGAAGGAACCCTCTTGACAGCTAAAATAAAGGAAAGAGCACATTTGTATTAGGCAGGTATGAGAAGTTAGCACTCACCCCTCCTCTGCCTTCTGTTGAGAAATAATACTTTACAAGTGGGCAAATTGAATATTAGTACTGTCAGGTAGGTTTAGAATGTCCTGGAGTGTTAGTATCTTTTTTGTGGTAAAGATAGAAATTCCTCCAGAATGGTTTACACAAATATATGTGCTGAATAGGAATAGAAAGAATATTCAATTTCATATGTCTGATTTTAAAAATCTTTGACAGATACTAATTATCACAGTTTTAGACCTGCAAAGTGCATTTTTTTTGTATTTTCTAAACATAAAACAGCATATTTTGTGTAAAAGTTAGTACTCCCATACAGCTTTTTTCTCTTTAGGAATACTAATGCATGGTTAGCTGACAGTGAAACAGATTTTTCTACCTAGAAAAGAGTTTTCTGTACATGAAACCACTGTTCATGTGTAGAAAATGATATTTCTGTGCAAAAATACTATTTACTATAACAAAAGGTGTTTTCTACAGAAAACTACCAGATAGAATTGTAATTGTTTGTGTATAATTGTAATTGTTTGTACTGGCATTGAATTTTGCCATTACTTATGTGTAAACCGCTTTGAGTCCCCCTCTGGGTGAGAAAAGCGGTATAGAAATACTGTAAATAATAATAAATATTAATTCTTCGTAGATCTCAATTGGGAAGTAGCTTTCAAAAACTCTCAGGGTTTTAATTTTTTCGCAGCAAGAAGAAAATTATGCATTTCTTCCTTTATTAAATCTATAGTGAAGACCTACATATCTATCTAGCATTGACTCACTAATGCATCCTACTGATATTTCATTTTTTAAAAAGAAAAAAATGTCTTTCCCTTTCCTACAATCCTGGAAAGGGGGGGGGGGTATTTGCCTCCTCAATGATTGGAGGCAAGCAACACAAATTTTACCTCTTCATTTCAGCATTGGGGTTTTTGGGAAAATGGCATTGGGTGTTTCCTTAAATAGGTTTTCATGTGGGGAATGGTGATATAATTTCACATCTCGGTGTGCACCTACGGCACCCATTTTGTTGAAGGCCAAGTTGCCCATAGTTAACCCTACTCAGCTGTCTTGTCTCATTATTTTGTTTTGGGTGGGCAAAAGAAATGAGCGAGCAACAAGCTAAACATTCAAAATATTAGCTTGGTACTTCTTAATATTTGTTGTTCATTCATTCAGTCGTCTCCAACTCTTCGTGACCTCATGGACCAGCCCACGCCAGAGCTCCCTGTCGGCCGTCACCACCCCCAGCTCCTTCAAGGTCAGTCCAGTCACTTCAAGGATGCCATCCATCCATCTTGCTCTTGGTTGGCCCCTCTTCCTTTTGCCTTCCACTTTCCCCAGCATCATTGTCTTCTCTGGGCTTTGCTGTCTCCTCATGATATGGCCAAAGTACTTCAACTTTGTCTCTAGTATCCTTCCCTCCAATGAGCAGTCGGGCTTTATTTCCTGGAGGATGGACTGGTTGGATCTTCTCGCAGTCCAAGGCACTCTCAGAACTTTCCTCCAGCACCACTTCTTAATATACTCAATATAATATATTTTAACACATTTTTAAAAATTTAAGTTGGGTGAACAAAAGCCATTCTGTGGCTCCCAGTATTCCCTTAGAATGATCTCTATATGGCAAAAAAGTAATTTTGTCTTAATTTGAAGCACCTGTATTCCTGCTGTATGCATCATGCTTCAAATGTCCTTGAGACCTCAAACATGATAAGAATGCTTCCGTGCACCCCAGTTTTTATTTGGGAGCATTTAAAAAAGATTTGTTTAAATTTGTTAAAAATGAAAAGTCTCCCATGTAGCCAATTTAGTACCCTTCCACTTAAACATGCCTGGTATAAGTAATAAAATGAATTTTTTAGGCCCAGGTGCTATATGCCATTGTGGCTTACAACCATCATAGTCAGAAGAGAGGAAAAGAAAGGAGACCAGAAGGTCTCTGCATAACCACAGACACCTGTCTAAACACTTCCTTTTCTGTAGTAATTAAAAGGAGGTAGAGACATGAATATAATGCTTGATTGAAATAGTGCATGCAATAATGATGGTGATGATGAACCAGCTATGCAAGAAGCAAGTAAAAGATAACATTCTCTCAGCCTCAGAAGAAGGCAAGAGCAAGCCTCCTACAAACAAATCTTGCCCTGAAAAAACAGTGATAGGTTTGCCTTAGGATTGCCCTAAATTGGAAACGACTTGAAGCCAAACAAGAATATCACATGTATGGATACCAAAGTTGTGATTGTGTAATTATAGTAATGAACTGCTGGCCCTCAGGAAACATCTTTCTCTCCTTTAAGTCAAAGCTGTTGACCTGGAAATGTAAAAGGAGACAAGGAACCTCATCACATAGATGAGGTCCAGAGCCATAATTCACCATTAGATGAGGTCCAGAGCCATAATTCACCATTAGATGAGGTCCAGAGCCATAATTCACCACTCTCCGTGGTGAATCAGGACAGCAGCGAGGCAATCCCAGCACCTTAGCTGTCAGGTGACGCTTGCCATCCCATGTGGGGAAGCATCACCACTCCACAAAAGTCCAGTCGTTCCTTATAGAACATGAGGTGGCTTCTGTGCTGGCGGCGGCTTTCCACCATGAAGCCACAGATCCCCACCAGAAGTCACCGTACATCATTTGATGGGCAGAATGGGGCTTCATGGGTGAATGGGGACAGAAATGCCCTGTGTGATAAGGTTGAAAGTCTGGGAGATAGGGCCATGGTATCTCAATCCCTAAATGATAGTAGTCTGTAGTCATGGCAAATGAGGGTGCTTGAAAAAAAGGCTATCAATTTGTGGAGGAAGGACATGGTTCCTGTTCCTCAAATTCAAGAGATATTTGTTTTTGTTCATTTGTAGTTGTATTATACTTCCCACTCAAATTCTGGTTTGGTTAAGCAAGAGGGTGAGATGGGGATTAGACCCTTTTTGTTATGTGCTCTTCCCACACTGTAACCCGAGCCACATAGGCCAGTTAGTAGTCTATATATTCTGAGGCCCTTTCCACACAGCTGAATAAAATCCCACATTATCTGCTTTGAAAAGGAATATATGGCAGTGTGGACTCAGATAACCCAGTTCAAAGCAGATATTGTGGGATTTTCTGCCTTGATATTCTGAGATGTGGCTGTGTGGAAGGGTCCTAAGAGTCTAACCAAGTAACTGGAACAAAAGGTTACTTTTTGGACTACAATTTCCAGAATCCCCAGTCAATAGGTTATGATCCCTAAAAGTAATTCTTTTGAGGCTTTCCCAAAAAACCATTGTAAAATGCAGGACTACTGGGACAATAATATGTTGACAAACAATTCAAGAATATGGGGATTATGTGAAAACAGAACATGTGAAAACCATTACATTATATTATTACAACACAGAGTACTTTTGGAAG